TGGTGGTGGTGGCGGTGGTGGCAGTGGTGGCGGTGGCTGGTGTCGGTGTTGGTGTTGATGTTGGTCAGTGTTGGTGTTGTTCTGCTTGTTGTTCTTGTCCTTGTTCTTGTTATTCGTCTAGTTGCTGTTGCTGTAGTTGCTGTTGCAGTTAGGAGCAATGCAGATGATTTAAATAGTGGCATCATTTTCGGAGGAAGCAGAAGCACTCAGTCGACAATAACAAGAGCAACGCCAGATGCTAGAGTCTGAGTCGAGCTGATCTGCAAGACGCAAAAGACCTCGGAGTATCACTGCTGTAAAACTTGACCGCGATTGGGCGATCTGCAGCTGCTCAGGGACAGCTTGTGTTTTCGATCCCCATGCATCATAGAAGCACTGTGTGGCAGTTGGACTCGTGCCCAGGTCAGTAAGCCTATGAAACAGATTCTTTTCTCGGGGTATGTGAACCCCTGCAGATGCCCGGCATGCACGATGTCGGTTGCTGGTTGTTGGGAGTACCCCTAGAGAGCCCTAAAGTTTCTTTAAAGTTTACCTCAATCCTGACCGAGGATACCTTGAAGTTCACCGGCGCACGGTGGGCATTAACTCCTTCGTGGAGTATCCAGGTCTTTAGACGCTTCGCACCGATTTGCTGCACCGCTTCTGAGCTTCCGCCCCAGTTTGTGTGCAGGCGCAGAAGATCATGCAAGCATCCTTGAGCTGGTCCAACGTTTCTGCGGGCATCCATTGGCGTGGCAACCGCCGTGGTGGTTTGAGAATCTGCAGCGTCCGTGGCTCAGATTGAGATGCCCGAGAGTTGTGTCGCGACCCACCGGAGCTGGAGCTGAAATACCGGCGTGTCGTTGCAGGCCGTCGTCTAGCCAGCCGATATGGGCAGGCTCGTCACCTGCCACCCGTATCATATCTAGAGCTTACGCAGCAGAACTTGTTCAATAGCGCTGGCGACATTGCAGCCTTCCTGATTCAATACAGTTGCTCGGGAAGACCAGGACGTTTTGTCGGCATTTGAGATCATTTCAGCTTGGAGCATATCAAGCCACACCCCATCGGCGCACATAAATCCATAGGTGGTGCCCGGGCGCCATGACGGATCCTTCTTCAGAGACCGAAAGAGAGAGAGTCGGAGAGCGAGAGATTTCGCGAATTGTGTTGATTTGCAGATACACTCTCCTCGCGGTTGGGTCCGTAGGACCAGCTGCCCTTGCACTCGCAGCGCGGGGGAGCCCATCCTCTTCACCTTCAGAAACAAGGAGGGGAGAGATAGAGACGGACAGAGTTGTCTAAACTGAAGAAGAAGAGAGAGACAAAGAGTTCGTACCCCATACCTTGTGAGGGGCACCTGGAGCGCGGGGGTGGGCTGAGAGAGAGAGAGAGAGAGATACAGCCGAGCCCCCTATCGCACAGTGATGGGGGGAAAAGAAAAGACACCTGTGGACCGCAGGTGCGCGCTCGCGCGCGGAGGGTTGGGGACAGACTTACCCCAGCTCTCCCCACCTGGTAGAGAGAGAGAGAGAGAGAGAGAGAGAGAGAGAGAGGGAGGGCCCTAAGGGCCGGGGGCCTGACCCGCCCCTTTGAGCTGAAGGAAGAAGAGAGCATGCCCCTGTCTTTG